AACCTAGTCCATTTCGGTCTGTGGACCTGAAGGCATTTTCTTACTATCTCTCTCTTCCTCTGCAGTTCCATGGCCCAATTAACCATTTTTATCCTGTTCTCTCCAGGCACATAACCTCTCAGTGCTCTAGGCAACTCTCTAAGGTGTTAATTTGTAGAGAAGGTTCTGACTTGCAGGGGTCCAGGAAATCACCTCACTGGAGAGTCGGCTATCCCAACGAAACCACTGATTTCATCCCTATTCCTAGCCCTTACCAGAAACAAAAAATCATCCTCCTTGGTAAAGAAAATCAAAGCATCACAAGCTGAGCAGCTCTGCCTTAACATCCCAAATCATGACTTTATTGTGCCTTTTGCCAGGCTTATCCTGTTTGCTGCGTGTCTGAGCGCACAATATTGCTGCTTCCTCCCCAGGGCTCTAAACACAATCCTTTCTTCACTCAATGTCCTCCAGATCAGAGCCAATGCTATCTGTGGGAAGTCTCAGGGATGCCATGGGGAAGTTTACTTATGCACCCTTTTCAGTACTGATGGCAGCACTGACTTGCTTAGGGTTCCGCATGGCTGAGATGTAAAGTACAACATGGCAGAGGCCAGCCAGACATAAAAAAAGACACAGAGGAAGGCCTCCAGTAGTTGGATGGCTCCCCCAGGGAGCATCAGTGGAAGACATGGACAGGAATGGCAAAGGATGAGAAGGTATGGATTAGCTGAGATCTGTACCAGTGGAAAGAACACTCACATTCATGAAGATGAAGATCCACTGAAGTACTGAGATGAGTGCTAAGCACAGAGTAGGGACTATAGAAAGTAGTCTTGGGAAGAACATTTAGAATCTAGAGTCAGACATCTCCAACATATTAGCCCCACCCCCCTTATCATATGCACACATGATCTCAGAGGCTTAATATCAGAAGTCAACAACTTAATGGGTATGCCCCCTTACGGAAACACAATGCTACATGGCCCCAAGTCTAGGGAATAGGGCTAGTGTTGGCACCAGAATAAAAAACCTGGCATGTTCCAAAAAAGGCTGTGCAGAAACTCAGAGATCAGAGATGTGATATAGACGATTATGGTAAATCATTCCTTACATTGATAGGACACTCTACCAAGCCTTCATGATCATTACCTGAGCCTCAAATGAACCCTGTGAATGACAGCATGATTATGTCAGAACCTCGAAGTTGTGAGGGACCTTCTAGTTCAACTCACCCTTGAACAAGAACTCCCTCTATAGGAATTAAAAAAAAATGCAACCCTTTTAAACATTTTCCTACAAGTGTTATTTGTTTTGATTACACCATTAGAACTCAAGCCTGGGCTTCCAGTCTCTGCCTGAAGAACATCCAGGGAAGAACACACTACCTCCACCCACAGCTGGGGCCATTTCATTCTCATGGTGATTTTCATGGGATGAGAGATTTCAAGCTGGAAGGGACCTTCGAGTCCATCTGGATAAACTCCCCTACTTAAAAGATGAGGAAACTGCAGTCTCCTGAGATTTTCTCAGGATCACACGGATGGTAAGCAGCATGGCCAGAATTTGAACTCAGGTCCTCAGATGCCACACAAAGTCAATTCATCCCATGGCACAACCTGTGTGGGCTTAGAGTTCCTCCCCAGGTTCTGGGGCCATTCAAAGAAGCTTAAGAGTTGGAAGGGGCCTCAGGGTCCACTTAGTCCAGAGAGTTTCTTCTACCACTTACTGGAAAGGGGCCTCCCTCCCCGCCATTGTTCCAAGACGTCTAGGAAGGGGGAAGAGGGATCTACTGCCTTCTGGTGCAGCCCATCTCCTCACCGATGGCACTGTTTAATATTCATCCCCCCCACTCCTTACGGCAGGACTACGCGGGACCGCAGGAAGCAGGAAGAGCAAACTATCAGATGGAAGAGACTCAACCTGAACTAATGAAGTGACTTCATTACAGAAGCATCCTGAAGGAAGAGAGAAAGCCCGTGAGGCCGGTGTGAGGGCGTGATGGGCAGCAGCCAGCGAGAAAGACACGGCAGGACAGCTGTGACTGGAGAGAAAGCAAGTTTGGCTGGACTGAAAAGGGCAGGAGGGGAGCAGTGTCTGATGAGGCTGCAGAGAAAGGCTGGGCCCAGGCCACAGAAATACAAACATGATATAAAATGAATACAAACTGAGTTTATGTTCCATGGAAATATAATATAAAATGAACATCCACTGACCAGTTTATATTCCACAGGAAGCCACCTGAGCTCACTAAGCAGTCGAACAATGAGGTCTTCTCTGTCCTTCAAGCCATTTCGCTAGCTGTGCCCAGGATGGGACACAGTGGAGTGAGGAGAAACTTGCGTCAGGCAGGCCAATGAGGAAGACGCCCCAGTAATGCAGGTAAGACGCTGGGAGCAGCTTTGAGCAGAGATGTGAGATGAGACGGAACAAATGGCATGGTGGGCCCACACTGGCTGGCTTGGGGGGAGCAGGGAGAGGCCAGATCAGAGCTCAGTCTGGAGACACATCCCTGGGGATCCTCAGAGAGCTATGAGACTCCAAGATAGGGGAGCGAATGCCTCCCTGAGAGCGGATCCAGAGACAACACCGAGGTGGGAGTCTTGAGGAAAATCCACCCCAATGCTCCCCTGAGTGCTGCAAAGCCTGCTTTCCAGCCAAAGGAACTTCTCACATTCCCCCTCCATTCTTTGGTAGGTGTGCAGTCCGAGTCAAAGGGGGTGGGGGTGGGGAGAAGGGAAAGTTCTCTGAGTCTTGTTATAACTGGTAATAACCTGTGAAATTTTAATAACCTGACTGATAAAGGAACAGAACAGACAGGTGTGACATTTATCAGGTGGAATTACCTCCTACTCACTTACGCTTGTTACTAAACACATAAGCTTTAATTAAAAGCTGAACAGCCTTAGAAACTGGGTTCCTGGTTTTATTCACATACTGCATGTCCTCTAAAATAATGAATTCCCTAGTCATTCAGCGCTGATCAGGCAATCTTTCCCAAAGCAGTGGCGCCCTGGGACTTACTGGCTGAAGGTCATCCCCTGCCTTCCTTGGTCATTTTTCCAGCCGTCGATTCACGTCACCGCTGCTCTGCAGGAGAAGGGTCTGGCACCCAAGGGCGCTGCTGACTGATGATGCTGAAATAAAAACCCTCAGGAGGGGAGGGCTCTAGGCTCCCACTAGAGGAAAGCCCGGAGCATCCACCAATGACATCCAAGACACCGAAGGCACCAGGCTTGGATTCAGGAACCTCCGGCTCTCACTCCAGCTCTGCTGCTGGACCTCACTTTCCTCAACTATAGAGAGAGAGAAAACTGAACGAGCTGACCCCTCAACCCTCTTCCAGCTGTCTGGCTCCACGACTCTGACTATGACCACTGTCTGCTAGGGAACCCTCCTTCTCCGAATTATTTATGGGATGTCTCATTCATGGGTTCATCATGGCGAGTTCTAAATCACCAGGAACACGCACAGGGGAGCAAAGCAGCAGCAACTGGGAAGAGGGCTGACAGAGTGGATTTCTGTTCCCCTTTTCTACAGGAAGGAAAGGAAACAAGCATTTATTAAGCACCCGCTAAGCTTCAAAGGTTTCCCATGGAGTGCTCGGCTCAGCTCGCTGGGGGTGGTGGGCGCTGAGGGCAGGGCCTTTGGAAGGCGTTGGGGCAGAGCTGGTGCCTTCTTTCTCTCCAGGCTCTCACTGAGACATATTTGGAGACAAAGGAACAAATAAAAACCCAACATGGCAGCACAGAAACGGGGCAGAACAAGGTCTCTACGTCCCTCTTCAGCTGCCCTACGGGCTGCTTCCTGCTAAGCCCAGGCCCAGAGAGCACTCAGCCTTTGTAAATGGAGGCAGTGTGGCTCACTGGACGTGCCGGGCTCATTCAGAAGACTGGGGATTAGGTCCTGGCTCCACCACTGCTCAGGCATACAGCGGCACTACCTCAATTTCCTCCGTGTAAAATGGGATGAACCTGACACTGCCTCCATCCTAAGAAAGCTGCGAGGCCCTGATGAGATAATCCTGGCTCTAACTCAAGTGTGTGACTGGGAAAATGACCCCACTCCTGTGGGGAGGGTGGTATCTGCACAACAACCTTCCCTGGGTGATTTGGAGAGAGGATTTTTACATACTGTGAAATGCTGGAGAAATGAGATGGGGTCAAACCCTGCTGTACAAGGGTTAGCTCTCACTGCATCTCTAAGAGTGACAGCCAGGTACACTGGGGTTCTTGTGCTACGTTCAACACTCACCAAGGAGAAGGCCTGGCTGGTGAAGCCCAGGGTCTGTCAGGGCCTCCCAACTGGGGAAAGGGACGAGGACGGACTGATGGTGGCCTGCATAGCCGTCCTCCAAGGCCTTGCCTAAATCTGGAAGGGCTCCTCACCAGCCTGGCCAAAGGCTGAACACAGCTACTCTAGAAAATCCTCTAGTGGGACCCAGAGAGGCTTTGATCTAGCTTGGTGAGAAAACAGCCTAAAGCCATACTCCTCCTCTGAACTGTGGGAATGTGTGTGTGTGTGTGTGTGTGTGTGTGTGTGCGCGCACACACGCGTGCATGCACATGCATGTGGGGGGAGGCAGGGACACGAATGGAAGTGTGTGAGGCCTCCCAACTCTCAGGAAGACCTTGCCATATGAAAGGTCAGTACAGGCGGAAGAGCTCACCACAGACCTCTGTCGCTGTGTCCGCAGAGGCCCGGGAGTTATCTCGAGGACAGCCACTTACTGCTGGGGAGTTCTCTTAGGTGCTTAAGGACTCCATTTTCCTCTTTGGCTTTTGTTTTCATTACTGAATAAAGGTTGCACCAAGGGCAATGTGTAAGGGACAAACTCTTTTCTGAAGTAAAAAGAAAAAGCTCCAGCCCAGAGGTTAGAATTTGGAATCATTTTTGTTTTTTGTTTTTTTTTGGGGGGGGCAGAGAGAGAGGACAACATAAATATATATAGAAATCTCTCAGCCAAAAGCCTTTGTTGTTGCAAAACAAGGAGGCAGAAGGGGCTGGGCAGCCCGGGATGGCGGGGAAAGCCGGCTACTTCTTCATCTCCAAGACTGTGCTGCCCGGTCCCCGGTTCTTAGCACTGCAGATGTTGCAGAACTGTCCAGCAGAATTCTGAAAACACAATGGAAGAAACGAATCCATATAAAAACATGGGAAATAACTTAATCCCCCTCCCATGGAGCACGGGATAACGTTTCCTGTTTTCTTGATTACATCTGCTTATCTTTGAAATTACTCTTGTTCCAACTGGCGTGTTTTTGATGAGCAATTTAGTGGAGAAAAATGAATCACTAACAAGACAGAAGAAATAGATATGTACACGCAAGTGTGTGTGTGTACATATGCATGCATATGTGTACACATGTATATGCATGCAGGTGGGCACAGCATATGTGACCAGTCTCCATGGGCATGACTTGCACGAGAAGCAGCCTGGCTATGATCCAGGGGCAGATCCTGGAGGTGGGAAGGCCTGTGCTCACTTCCTATTTGGGTTTTGGATTTTTTGTTTTTGTTGAGGTGACTGGGGTTAAGTGACTTGCCCAGAGTCACAAAGCTAGCGAGTATCATATGTCTGAGGCTGGATTTGAACTCAGGTCCTCCTGCCTCCAGGGCTGCTGCTCTATCCACTCCCTTCCTATTTGTGAGGCCTGCTGACCGTATGCCCCTGGGCAGGATGCCTGCCCCCAGTCCCTCAGTGCCCTAATCAGTCCATTCTTTCCAGATTCTACATCACAGAAGAGTGGCTCATCCATGTCAGTGCAGGGAGCACCCACATGGGCGGAATCATTGCTTCTCAGAACAGCCGAGTGGCAGACATGTCAGCCTGTGCGTCAGGGAAGGCAGCTCCCTCACCCACTCCATGTCAGACTGCGGATTCAGTGATGGAAGGAACCTTAGTGACCGCCTAGCCCAAGTCTCTCATTTTACAAACAAGGAAACTGAGTCCCCAAGAAGTTCAAGGGTCACAGAGTCCCATGAGATCTGAACCTAGGCCTGACACCCTATTGACTAAGCCACGATGCCCCCCTGCCCCTTCTCTCTTACACACATGCGTACTGAAAACTCCCCAGTATCACGGGGCATGAGGAAGAGCAGAGGGGGTCCCTGCAGCCGCTCCCTTCCCGGCTCTGAGCAGTGCCCATGACCGCCGTTCCTCCCACCCCGCTGCCCAACCACAGCTCACCATGCTGGGGACGGGCAGACACTCTTTGTGGAACATGTGTCGACAGTGGAAGACGACCACACTGAAGGGCTTCGCTGCATCTGTTTGGGGGAGAAACAAAACTGAGGAGCCGGCTGTGGGGCCTTCAGCCCACCTCCTGCCACTGAGGAGCAGCGACGGGTCCCACTGGATCCCTCCTTCGGAGCCAACCCAGCAGCACAGACTAAGGAGGTCTGGAGACGCCCCTGGAGGGACATCCCTGGGCCTCTGCAAGGCCCCACGCATGGGCTCAGATGCCCATCCCAGGCCCCGGGCTCATTCACAGCTTCTTCAGAGCCTAGCTATTCCAGAGGAGGCCTCGGCCAGGAAGCCCCTGTCAGAGGGTGATCCGGCCTCTGTCTGGAGGTCACAAAGTGAGGGAGCCCAGCACCTCGGGAGACTGCTCGCGCCGTGCCGGGATGGCTCCAAAGGTGGAGCAGTGTTCCGGACACCAGGCCTCTCTGCCGCTTCCCCACCTTGCTCCCAGTGAAGTCCTCCAGGGCCATTGCAACCCTTAGCCCAGGGGGTCCTGGCCTTCTCTATGTCATGGGCCCTCTGGCAATTTTGTGAAGCCTATGGACCTTTTCTCAGAGAAAAAAAAATTTTTAAATGCACAAAATAAAATCCACAAGATTACAAAGAAAACCAAGGGGAACTGAAAATAAAGACATGATTTTTTTCCCCATCCACGCCCCTGAAATCTGCCCCAGGTCTCCAGCCCTGCTTTAAGAATCATTCATGGCTGACCCCACAGGCCCACACTGCAGGGACGGGTGCCTTGAACAACAGCCGACCAAGAGCCTTGGGGCTCTGGTCCTCAGCAGGGTGGGAGCCCCCTCGCATCTGAAGCGAGACCTGGGGCTGCCCTACTCCAGGTGAGAGGAGGTGAAGACCTGAGAGGGAGGGGGAGCAGGAGAGTGCCCAGCACTTGGGGGGCTGAGGGATGAGGAGGGGGGTGGGGGCACAGAAGGGGACCTGCCAGGGCACAGATTCAGAAGGCAGCGCAGTACTGTGGGACAGGATTTTACCAGAATTACCCCGTGGCACATAATACTTTCTTACTAACAACTCTCCCCCAGGTAGGTTGGAGGTGCCCGGGACACTTCTTTAAGCCATGTGCACACTATATTCATTGAGCATTTGGACTGAGCCGTGAGGTTTGCAGAGGGCTGCGTGTGCTTCCTCGTTTCACCCTCCCAATAAACCCGGGAGGTCGGTGCTGTTATTATTCCCCCATCTTACAGATGAAGAAATGGAGGCCCCAGGAGTAAGTGACTCGCCCAGCTAGTAAGTGTCTGAGGTGGGCTTTGGACCCAGGTCTTCCCAACTCCAGGACCTGCCGATGGGGAGACACCCACATGGCCCAAGCTGGGAGGCAGCATCCCCCAATCTCTCCCCCAAGAAAGCCCCCCTCTCTTTTCCTGGAGCTTCTTACCTGAAGGAAGAACAGGGGAGAGACAGGACTCACAGATGTTTTCTTCTGCAAGGAAACAGAGAGAGTTAGCGTCCTCCCCTGGCTGCCCTGCCCGGAGGCGGCGGCTCCCATGCCAGGACTAGGCTCACTCACCATCGACCAGGATGCCTTTCATCTGCGTGCGGTGCATTTTCTTCAGGAGGGACAAAGAGTCGGCCACCAGGATCTTCTTGCAGCCTTCGCGAAGAAGAATCTGGGGGACACAGTGACAAATGTCCACTTGTCAGAAATCTAAGAAGAGAAAGCTGCGTGCGTGGCCGGGGGGGGACTGCCAAGGAGCCTGCTGGCCACCCTCGCAGACCAGGGCCACAGTGACTTTCCCATGCCCAGCATGGTGCCTAGCTTCCTCCACCGCCACCAGGGGCTCCCTAGTACTGATCACATCAGATCGATCCAGCTGTAGATGGGAATTCTAGGATGGTGCATGCTTGGGCCCCCCAGTATTTGGAAAAGGAGAATTTTGTTCTTCCAATGCACTTAGAACGCCTACTGAGTGCCAGCAGGAGGGCCAGTGCCCTGAGGGGGAGAGGGACGGCTCTGCGTGCCAGGCGGGTCAAACCACTGCCCCCCAGGACTCGACCCCCTACTCATCTCCAGCCTCGCCCCCCAAGCTGCCATCCAGGGGACCCAGCAGCTCCCTCTAACTCCCTCCCACTGCAGGCCCTGCCTTGTCCTCAGCTGCCACCAAAGCTGCAGGAAAGAAAACGCTTGAAACCAAAACCATCTGCACTGCCGAAAGGCTCCAGGCCGCAAGAAACACAGAAGAAGTGGGATTAAACAAGGTCTCCCCTCTTCTACTTTAGGAGTCTCTGTCTGAAGGAGGGAGGAGAGGACGAGGAAGAAAAAACTGGTCAAAGGGAGTAAAGAGAGGGTGTGGACATGCCGTCAGGCCCTCTTCACACAGTGGTGACTCTGCCTTTGACGCTGACAACGTGGCGTGACTGTGGCAGCTGGACCTGGTGAGGACGTTTAAAAAGACAAGTCATTAAAAGATGCGGGAGCTGACGCCGATTGTCCACACCTGCCTTTGTCACGACAACAACATCTTTCCTTTCCCTCAGAGGAACGAGCCCGCCTTTAGTTCCCATCCATTTCCTCTTTACGGAAGGCCTGGTCCCTCTTCTCCTCTTTGATTTAGTCAGAGCAGACTCTCGAGAAGTCCCCAGGAGGCCAGTCTGGACTGCCCGGGGCTGCCCAGACATAACCTGGCCTGGCCTCAAGGCTCTCATGGAGGCTCGGAAGGCCAGGCTCAGGAAGCCACCACCTGCCCCAGGTTCATGCTAATGTTCCCAGAGCAAATGCCACCTGGGCCTGGAACGCAGCATACGAAATGAGGTTAAAATCCGCCCTGCAGGGGTGCCTGCACAAGGGGCACGAGGACATGGTCTGCAGAGAGCAGCCTCGGGTCCTACCTCCGACACCTGGATGGGCGCCCCTGGGTGAGGACCTTCACCGCTCCATATCTTCAGCGGTCGAGCAGTGCTGACACGCAAAGACAGAGCAGGAGCAGCCCAAACCAAGGTCCCCGAGTCAGTCGCCGCCCACCCATGGCCCAGCAGCTGCCTCCCCTACATCTTCTGAATGTGTATCATTGGGCTGAGGCCCTCGAGAGCCAGGGCTCCGCAGCTCTAGGCTCCCAGGAGTTCGTGCAGACGTGCTCTGCTCCTTGATCTAGGAACCACTCGCCAGGCACACTCTGTAGCTAAGAACGCCCGTTGGCAGGGACATGGGCCATCCCAATGACAGAGGCAAGCCCGCTCTCCCTCCCTCCCCTCGTCTTCACCCCACCCACCCTGGGCAATGAGGGGGAGACCCTCAGGGTGGAGGTGCACCTCTGTCCAGTGCCCCCTCTGAACCCCACAGAGCCCCAAACCACCACTGCCTTTCCCAGGACTTAGGCGATAGCACAATCACTGCTACAGCCTCTTCTGAACGGACCAGCACAGCCACGTTTCTTTTGCTGAAGACCTCAAAGCAGAATCTGGCAGAGAAGGCGTCCAGGAGAGGGGCCTTGCCTGGCTCTAGCACTGTGAGAAAGAACAGGCATCACTTCTCTACCATGTGACCAGTTCTGAAGGTCTTTGGTCCTCAGGCCTCTACAGAACCTACTTAGAAAAGGACTGAAAGGATTTTTCTAAAAAGGAATTATGACTCCATCCAGAGACATACACATTCCATCCAGGGGAATATGGAGGAAAGAAAAAAGAGTAATGTCACAAAAAGAGTCACGTAAGAACATAAGAGGAATACTGATAAAATTAACTTTGGAGAAGTCCTTGAAAACCTATTTCAAAAATGTATTAGTGTGAGGCGTGAACACATGGAACTGAAGAAACTATGGATGTCTGGTCTGGTTAGGAGGCACGTGCCAGTTGTCTTAGTATATTGTGTGGACACACAATCAGATCTGCTCTGTCTGACCCTAGAAAAGGATTGTGGCTTAAAGAAAGGCCCAACTGCCTAACCTGTCCAAGAGTGGAATGGGATAGCTTGGAAGGTAGGGGGCTCCCCATCGCTGGCGGGTTCCAAGGGGAGGCTGGATTTCCTCCGTCAGGGAAGTCACTAAACAATCTCCGAGGTTGCTTCAAAATCTGAAATTCTGTGATTCCCAACCCAAGAACACAAAAATAGGTCAGTCTGCCCAGTACAAAACTTCACAAAGAGCTGGTGCCTCATTCTGAATGGGCGACTGAGCCACGAACCATACGATAGTGAAGTTCTGAGGGCCTGTGTAGAACAAGGAGTTTAAAAAATTCAGCTCATTTGAATGTGAGATGAATTAGATGAGCTGATAATTGGTTCACAAGAAGAAGGTAACCAAGGGGAAGATCTGAATAGATTGAAAGGAAATAGCAAAAATCAGAATGAGCCATAGGAGAGCTCAGGTAAATGGAAAATTCAAGATTTCTCAATGTGAAAGATGAAACAGGAAAGAAAAATACACACAGAGACAGAATCATCTGTTCAGCAGGCTCTCACCTTTCTAAAAAGATGCTGGGTAGCGCAGCCCTCTGATAAAAGTGTAGCAATCACAGTTTTGTTACTGGGGAAAGGAACTCTATGCAGAAACAAGCATCCATGGGAATGAAAAGCCATAAATGTCACAAATGGAGCACCTTTCATGCCCTTCTTAATATAATCAAAACCTCAGGTACCTATCAGGCAGATTTCACCTTTCATTCTGGTATCAGGCAGGTTTATGAGATAATCTGGTAAAACCAGTGGTGTAAAACACCCATTGAGTGCATATGGCCAAGTAACGATATAAGAAAATCAAAGGAAGGACAATTTCAAGAAAGACAATAGGGAACGATTACAAGTCAATATCATATTATTCAGGCATTGGTTTCGTTGCCATGGTATGTACGTCATGACAACAGACCCGAAGAACTTGCTACTAAATATTCCCCCGGACAGTAAAGGCAGAGGGTGAGCAGGAGGAAGCAGTGTGGGCTGATCCACCATCTTTTCTTCCTGAATTTCATACTTCCTTTTGACTGCCTCTGCTTTACCAGCTCATCTTAAACCATTTAACCTGTTCTCAGAAACCTGGGCCAACTCTCCCTCTCCTACCCACCTCCTGCTCAAATGTGTGGTCATCTAGAAACTCAGTGACTGGGTGCTCTGCCATCCTTCTGTGTCCTTTGAAAACACTGGACCTTGGGTTAACCCCTCCTCCAACCTCTGATGTGCTATCACTCGGACAAAGACCCTGTGCTGAGTGGGAGCAGTAGGCAGAATTGACCCTAATTTTAATGAGAAGTTTTGTCCTATCTTGTCTGATACTGTCATCAATCATCTAGGCAGATATCATCCAGGTGACCACTAGATTGGGGTCCAGTACCCTAAGAGCTCTCACCACAGCCTCTGTCCAAGTGGCAGCGAGCACATCAGTGGGATAGAGGAGGATCTGGTGCTAGGGGAGGCTTAGAGATGCATTCTCTTCTGCTGGGAGATCTCAGCAGGTACCATTTCCAGAGCCTTCACAGACTCATAGAGAAGGTCTCGGCTCTCGAGCTGGAGGGGACCCCAGAAGCCAACCTTCTGGGAAGACATGACTGATCGTCCATAAAGTCCAAACGACCTCATGGGATTCTTACAAGGACCCTGGGAGAAGCCTCCATGTTATGTGTCCATTATTCCACCTAAGGGTCTCTCTTTCCTAATGCACTCACCCAGAGGTCATTTTCACTCACGTTCCCATCATGCTTTGGTTTCGCAAAGCATGCAAACATCATTAACCATTTTAGAGACAGAAGAACCGAACTGATTTGCACAAAGTCCCACTGCAGGTCAATGGCCGATGGGACTTTCTAGGGCTTCTGATGCCAAGGCCGGGCTTGCTCTTCTGTGCCACAGGGGGTTGTGATGTATGCATTTAACACACCCCAACGAATGTAACCAAAACACTGTGCCTCTGACTCCAAAATCTCCTCTGAAAACTGATGGGTTGATGGAGCTTCTTGCTTCCCCTTCCCTTATCCAAACCTGCCCGTTTCTGCTAAGCTCACTTCCCCACCATCCTGGGATCTTCCCTCTCCTTTACGTCGTCAGAGCCAATCCACCCAAGACATGCCAATCCTACCTCCACAACACCCCTCACATCCATCCCTTTCTCTCCATTCACCTGGTCACGACTCTGGAGAGGTCAGGGCCTTTTCACCTCTTGCCTGGACTATCTGAACCGCCTCCTAATCAGTCCCCCTCCTTCCAGTCTGCCCTCTCTACCCTACCAAGCTGCCAAATAACATTCCTGAAGTACGGGCCCAGCCATACCACCTACCTGCTCGGATGCCTCTCAGGATGAACATCAAAGGCTTGTCCAAAGCATTTCAGTTTCTCTACAGTCTAGCCAAAACCCTCCATGTTCCAGCCATGCTGGAAATTGGACTTGGAAACAGAAAAAGCTTTCCCTTCCAGGGATCACTTTTGTCATCTGATGATGGGTTGGCCTCCGTGGCCTTAACGATCCCTCCCAGCTCTCCCTCTATCCTCACATGATGGCGCCCTCCCTTGGCAATCTCCACGACATCTTCGTCTACACTTTCCTGCACAGACCATTTTTGTGGTCCGGAATGACAGTGCCCCCTTATTCCCTCCTCCCGGAGTCTCTGTCTTCCTCAGGTGATGAAGGGATGCCCCACTTCGTTTTCCTTGTTCCATACTTATTTGTGCATGTTACATCTCCCGGAA